TGTACAACGTACTTTGGGCAGTAAAAGTTGAAGTCGGAGCAGCGTGTAGAAGTGTTGAAATGAAGAATCCATGAATAGCCTGAACAGAATTTTCTATTCCTGGGGCTTGCAGCTGACCATAGAAAACACTTTCAAAGATTAGAGGAAGTGTTCATTACTGAAGAAGGAATTTTTTATGTTATTAGTTTGTGCATTCTTGGATTGGGCTTTTCAGTGCTTTTTAAAAGATTCTTCCCTTGTGTTACAACATACATTTTCAACAAAGCCTTAGCTCCAGGAGACAATGCATACTTGGGACATACGTAAATATTTGCCCAAATCATAATCTTTCTTACAAGTCCTGCAAGGTAAAAAAGAAATGCATATATGTTGCATGATAATTTGATCCAAGTACTTTACAGGCTTTAACCTACTAGATACTCATGAGTAGTTTTTTGTGAGGTAGATAAATGGATATTGACCTTCTTTATTAAATAGAGGAGGGTGATGGCCTGAAAGACAAAAACGGCGTAAGAGGAAAAAAGATTCTTGCCCCAAAATGCTTAGACAGTGAGTTATTTGAAAAAGGCATCATTATACATTATGAATCTTGGGCAAAGAAAAAATTACTTGTAATACTCTTCCCACTGAAGTTGACAGCAGGCCAGCAGCAGCAAAATGTGCTTGGCAAAGTTAGACCAGCACCAGAACCTTCTGTTAGGTCTACAGAGTTTTACTGGTGGAATTAGATGATCACATTTTAATGGATCCCTCTTGCTTGATTTTGTTGTGTATCCCAGAACACAGATATGTACACAGTATAGTTGCTCAGTGGGGAAAATCTGCGTAAACTGAACATAACTGACTAGGGTACAGTTGCAGGTATTGACCTTGTGTTGGTGTCTACCATTTATTTGAGGGGTGAATATAATGGAGCCAAACCTCCTATTTCATCTGTAGTCAGCAGGATTCAAACCCGTTCAGCAGAACCTCGGCAGACTCTTAGTCTGTTGCTTCAACCCTTCTGCCTTGGCTATGTGACACATTCGTGGAAACCTTGCTGTGCTGGTAGGAACGTCACTGCTGATGACTTGCTCTGGCCATGGAGAGTAAGATGATGGGCCTGTCCTTGTAAGCCACCAGTCCTGTGGTGCAGCCTGTCCAGCCACTGACTGCTCTCCATGCTTGTAAGCCACTGCACTGCAGGGAAACTGCTGTGGGAGTGTAGCCCATGGGTGTTCAGACTTGGTGGTTCCTTGGATGTCAAGATTAAGATCCTTTCAAGGAACTCTAATACCACAGAAGGCTGCGTATCTTGATCTTACCTTCACTTTGTGGAGCAATTAAGTAGCATATATAATGTGTGCAGCTTTCCTAACTGAGATACTGCTGATTTTTGTAGACGAGGTGCACAAGAAGTCTTGCCATTCTATGTCTGTATAATGTATTCCCCACAGCGTGGGAGGACATACTGCTGAGAAGGTCAGTCAGGATTCATTCTATAGATATTGAATCCTCTTCTCATCACATTTGCAGCTTGTACATCCTTTCGGATACTTTTATTTGCCACTTTTCAAGTAAGTAGCTAAATTAGTAGCTGAGCTGTAAATAATAGTAAAGCTGCCCTAAAAACAGTCTTGCTGTTAAAGTGAAGGCATATTTTAAAATGTTAGTAATTTTCCACTGTCTCTTCTTTGCTGCTAACTTGTGGAAGAGGGAATAAGAAGCTCACATCTTCATTCATGTACAGACTTAGATAAAAAGCTAAATCCTTCAGTGGTAAATGTTAGATGCTTCCTTTGAGTTTCCCAGCACCTTTAAGACCTTCCCACAGCTTCTTGAATTGCACCCGCAGCACCTTCTCCAAGCACAGAACAGAGAGGTTTTCTGTGAAACATTTGAAGATCCATGGCACTGCACAGACCTATTATAAAATCTCTCCAACTCTCCTGCTGAAACCAGAGCACCCTCTAAAAGTATTGTAGAAGGCTCCAGGTGCTCACCTATCCTCATGTACAACCCAGCAGTGAGCTAGAAGAGAAGGAGAATCCAGATGCATCAGCAATCCTCAGAAACCTCTGTTCTCCTGGCTTGGTACCCCTAATGATTTAGATACTGCATATTGAAACCGATTGCAAAATCCATACTGTGGATCGAAGCTCCTTAAGAGCTTCATGCCCATCCTTGCACGGAAGGGTAATTGTCGGTGCTCTGAGCTTCTGTCCTGGAAGTCTAAATTAAGAACAAGCCTCTGGGCTGCTGCTAGGCCTGCAGTAACTTCTCAGGCTTTGTCCTCCCTCTGTAACCGGCTGACCTGAGCTGCCCCTGGAATACAAATCCGCTGTACCACGCTGTCAAAACAAATTACTAACTATCAGGCAGCACCACAGAGGAGACAGAAGCCAGGATCTTAGCAAAAGTAAAAGGTTGCTCTCCCATGCTTGCTGAGGAGTTAAGGCGAACTAAATGCTTTGGCGGGAGGGAAACATTTCCCCTTCCCCAAACGCTGTGCCCTGAGACTTGATCCAGAGGGTAATCCTCACATAAGGAGAGATATAAGTGAGATATAGGAAGGATCTGCTAGAGCATCACCCATGTATCTAAGAAGTGTACCCCACACACTGCAGTGAGTGCGGGCTTTGGGGGAAGGGACTTAGAGAGCTGAAGTTTCTATTTACATTGCTCATGGTGGAGACTGGGTACGGGCACAAACCAGGGAGAAAATTTGTGCAGGGAGTGAGCACTTGATACCCAGTTTCCCCCATGATCTGGTCTGAAGCATGTGGGCAATGCCAGGTGCTTAATGAACATGGGGCTGCAGGAACAGGTCACTCACAGTCTCCGTCCACATCCGTAGTGGCACTGGGAATTACCCTGGGCTCTAGGGATGCTTTTTTGAGTTTTCCCTGTGCCACCCATTGTAAATTCCCAGACTGTGGTGGCAGTAGGTGTGGGCAGGGCCCCGGCAGCTCTGGTGTCTGTAGGGTACCTGCTCCCAGGCACCACCGAATTACGTACCTGCTTCTGCTGACTGCTCAGTGGAGGAGCTGCGTGTGCTAGTGGGGTGATTTGATCCGGTGGTTAACCCGACATTTTATGAGTGCTGTGCCTAGATGTCTTTAGGAGAGGTGGGGGAGGAGATGGGACAGGGCACTGAGACTGCTTGAATAATAAAAGAACAGCTCCTGGTTAAATCTGGGCTGATATTCCCTAGAGAGCTAATACTGCCTGCAATTACTGACGTGATTTCTTTTTTGCTCTTCACCTGTGAGTATCTCCCTCGCTTCCCACATGTTCCTTGCACCAGCAATTCCTTACAGCCTGCTCTGCTCCTTTCTTATAGGAGTGCGTGCTGGATCTGAATCCATTAGTGCTTAATGAGCTAGATATTTAGAGCTTACCATTTAGGTTATACCCCTACGTTCCTCTAAATTGAATACACTTCAAATATTTGCAAATCAAAAGTAAGCTTAGTTAAAATGCCACCAAGTTAAGCTGATTCTACTTGCTTGAACTAATATCTCCATATAGTTCATCAGAATTAACCAAGTCGTGTGGATGTGGATGTTTCAGTAGAGAGACAGGCAGAATAATAAGGAAACCTCATTTCCATTTGTAAAAGTCCTAATTATCCTGACATTTAAGAGGGTACCAGCTTTCCAATAAAAATACAAATGAGGAATTTTCTTTAATCAGAGCACAATATGCAAGGCCTTCTCAGAACAGTCCAGACTAATGCAGACTTGAATGTTAAATGTCTATAAATATTGGAAAAATGGTTTGTGACGAGTCCTGGGACTTTACCAGAGCTGACGCTCTGCAAGGCTGTGATTTCCCCAGAACCTACCTAGCAGCTTTTGAACTCAGGGCCTGTTCTGAAAGTTGGCAGAGAGGCAGAGGTCTCAAAGACCTTACACTTTGACATATTTCTTCAAAGCCAATGGGGCAACAAGGGAAGAAGCCAGCAGTACTGAGGAGGAAAAGGAGAGGTTTGTCATGTGGGTGTAAAATATGTATCTGTAGGGAGCAAAGCTGCATTTGTCCTGCTGCTTGTAAAATACAAGCTGATACCAACATCTGCTAGAAATCCATTATTTGTTATTTTGTTAACAGCAATTTACAAATTACTGTATGATTTGTCATTATTTTGAGGAGACTCGGTTGTTTTGTTTGGTTTAGAAGTGAACTCGCTTAGCTGTGCAGTTTGGAGATGCAATTCGAGCACTGTTCTTTGGTCCATTGCACCAGTTTTACGCCGTGATTTTATTGAAGACTCTGTCATACGTGTTAAAAAGCCAAGCTGAATATATTTGAAACTGGAATGCCAACTAAAATGTGGGGAGAACAGAGAGCCAGAGAACAATTTGAAAACATTCATAAGAAAGCCTTCATACTGGAAATGGACTTTGAACTCCTGCTCGATGGATTAGAGGCTGATGATAAATCATGGTAAACCATGGAAATTACCTGATCTCTGCGGGGGGTTGGGAGAGAAGGGAAAGAACTGATATTTGCGCATCTTCTAGGGCAGATGATAACCTCCTAACCAGGTTAACACCCCCTCCCATTTTATGCAGCTGACAACAGTAGTCTCTTCCTTGTAAATGAGATCTCCTAGAATGGAAACCGCTGGTCGAGAGTCTGAATTAAGAATACAGGAAGAAAGACGAAAGAGCGAAGCCTGGTTAATTAGGGTGAAATATACTCCCCCAACTAAATCCTCCAATCCCAGTTTGTCAGTGTAGGGGCTGTTAGCACCGAAAGGTCTGGCTTGCTGACTCGGGTAAATGCAATGCTCCGCAGATGAAGTCATGAGTAATTAATTGTTCTTTGTTACATTCTTTCCAATGTAATAACTTGTAGCGTTCAGGCTTATAATAACTGATGTTTTCTGTGTGCTGGATCTTCAGGACAGCCAATTAAGGCAGTGGAGGTGGTAGCTGTGCAGCATCTCTACCGCCTGTGTGTTACCAACATGTGGGCTCTAACTTCTTTTTTCTCTTTTCTTTACTTGTTTCTAGTGCCTAAAAGAGTACGTGCAGCTGGCAATTCAAGAAGGTTGTGGCTCTCCTATCACATGCCCGGACATGGTATGCTGGAACCATGGGACCCTACGAGAAGCAGAGGTATCAACACTTTTTTCATTTCTTTTTTTTTTTTAAAAAAAAAAACATGAACCCCCTCAGACTTCTTTATCTGCACAATAAATATGATCATACACTTTTTCCTCCCTTTAATTACCTTTAATGAGCTTTTGGCAAGAAGCCTGACTGACAAGAGGAACTAGAAACAAACAGATGTTTTTCAAGGGTTTTGCTCCTTTTTCCCTCCCTCTGTGCCTTGAGGAAAGGCTTGCTTGGCATCCAGACAACCTCCGAATTACCCGTGCAGGTGACTTAACCAGAATACCCTGTATCCCAGAATTGCTGAGCCTCCATTATCACAGTCAATTAAATCAGATTATATTTGTCTGCAAAGACTGAAATTCTTGCGCCTCTCTTAAATTAAGAGCAAAAACTCAGACTGACAGTACACAACGCCAGAATTTATTCACGTATGTTTATATTGGGCTGCAACTACTAATTTGCAGCCCAATATAAACAAGCAAGACTCTGTAGAGTGATATGGAAAGTTATCTGCATAGCACTGGGTGGAAGTAGGTCTTAAGAGAGATGAGAAGTGTCTTAATTCCCAAGGCAGAGATGGGAGAGGTTGAGAGCTCAGAAGCTAAATGAGGTTTAGGCAGGGCTGTTTGCACTTCTGGCATGTGTACAATCTCCCAGAGGAGCTGGAAGGTTCAGGTTGAAAGTGGGAGGTGGAGAAACGGGAGGGAAATGACCTTCTTGCACCGCTTGGGACAAAAGGGTTCAAGGATACGTAGATGGCCCCTGCCAGGCTGCCTGATGGCCTCCCAGCAATGCTCAAGCAGCCTCCTGCCTGACTTAGGGCTGGTGTAAAATTTCCGATTTGGGCTTAGTGCCAAACCCATGACACGGCGAGGAGCTGCTGGCAGCGTGGCTGGAACCCTCATAGGTGCCAGCTGTTCAGTGCATCTAGAAAGGCACGGAAAACAGGGAGCAAATCCGATGTTGCCCTGCAGCTATTCTTGCTCACTCGCTTTGTGAGCCAGGTAGGACTGGGAACACAAGCAGGAAAAAAAAAGGGGGGAAAAAAAAAACAACCCAGGGAAAAAAAAAAAGGTGGCAAAGGGTTTTTGGCTGGTTTTCTGCATTCTGTCTGCATTTGTTTGCAGAGGCAAAATCAGGGAGAATCAGATCTTGTCCCCGAACTGAGGAAAACCAGTTTATCTTCTGGGTTCCCTTGAGCCCTGTGTAAACAGATGACATAACTGTGACAGACGTATAGAATCCTATTCAAATGCAATCAGTGGCAATGCAGTTCCCAATACAAAAAATGCCATTTTCTCCAGGAAAAAGTCAGGATCTCCTCTCCAGCCTGCATTTGAAACACTGTGCTCAGCTAAGGCAAGGCCTGGGAGTCGCAGCTATGTTTGTTATGGTGTGCAGGCATATGGTGGAGCTTTTTCTTGGCTGAATCCAGCTACTGTGGAAAGTAGCCAGCTGTTTCCCTTCCTCCTTTCTTGGGCACCGATACGGAGAGGGTGTAGCAGTGTCCCTCCCACCCATCGCACTAGATAGGAGGCAACTAACCTTTATTGAAAATGTGTTATAAAAGGAATTTAACAAATGATAGGAAAAATTCCGCTCTGTTAAGCCAGTCTTATGATGCTATAGGAATTATAGAGATATATTTCCCCTTAGTAAAGCAAGAGGACACTCCAGGGCATGTATTAATGAACCATTAGCTTAATCCTTGGGTGCTTTTGGGGCTGAAGGCAGAATGACTAAACAGCCCAAATGTGCATTAGTGTCCTGTGGATGAATGAAATGTTCTGATGCTCCCTTTTGGCGATGCACTTGAAACACAGACCTTCCGCTTGAAAAGCAAACAGGCCCCCAACCTGGTGAAAATGAACCATTTAGGTATTTTACCAAATACCTAATTCTTTAGGGAAGAAACCCCCTCAAAACCCCAGGAACAATAGAAAGATTAGATTGTCTCTGTTAATAATCTGAACTATTACAGATGAGCACTCTGTATTCTTTTTTCTTCTCTACAGTGGTTGTTCTATGTGAAAATGTAGCCTCTAAAAGCTACTATTTAAAAAACAGCACCTTATTCACACAGTAGAGAATGTAGTTAAATATGGCTATTGTTTGCCATGGAAGTACTATTTAGAATTACACACTCTGAAATTTCTAGTGTAAAAGTGTGAGCCTTCTCACCTCTGGAGGATCTGGGTGTTTTGTCTCTAGATCCTGGCAGGAAAACGTTCCTCACCGAGTGGGACAGAGCCATGAGGGATGACATGTTGCCTGTACCAGGGCAGGGGGAGGAGAAGAGAGGTCTTCTTTTCTCCCCTGTGTTAGCATTAGGGTTTTGAAGAAGTGTATTTTTCACATCACGTCCATTTCAGGCTCTCCTGTGACTGGCGTTTCCCAGGTACCTTTATAATTTGGAGAAAAAACAGCAGTTAAAACTGTCTTTGTCAGGGACATTGTGTTAAATTGGTTCCTATACTTTGGGCTAAATTGTGTCTAATTATGTTAGCTAATGTGGTTGCCTTGTTTACTTTTTAAATGCTTTTTACCCTAGCCTGCATGAGGGAGATAAGGTGAATTTAGGCATAATTTGAAGTGAAGGAAAGCCTTTTCATTGACACCATTGCATTTTGGATTGAGCTCTCTACAATAAGAAAACTGAGAAATTAGAAACAAAGCTTATAAGCATTTTATAACACATTATACCTGTGAATGTTCCTCTACTTCCCTCTTTCAAGGTCCTTATTCAAGATGTGTAACATTTATTCAGTGTTTTCCAGTGATCTATTTGTCTTCATTGTGAATTAAGTCTGTTTTATCTTCTCAGTAAAATTCTTCAGAGTTTATCTAGTTTGGTACTAAATTATGGGAGCCTTTTCACAGCTTTTGCCTTGATTCTGAGACACATGCTTCTTGTGTTGCTTTTGGGTGGTGGAGGGGGGCAAAAAACTCTGGTTAAACATTTTAAACAGGGAATAGAGTTTCTTCTTGTATGTGTCATGAAGAAATGAGCAAGTGTGAATAGTAGGAATGTGTCTCAAACAGTTGAATATTTCATCAGGGTTTGGAGAGTAAACTGCTTATTCATAGAGTCGAGGAGATGTTGGGAGTTAAGGCTTTACTTTTGGTGAGCTAGAATGCTGTGTTTCTCTGGACTTCAGAAGAAAATGTTCCAGGTTTTTATTCTTAAAAAACTTAAAATGAAAAGTTATTTGAACTAGAAAATGGTACTTTTCATTCCTTCAAAAATGTTTTCTGAAACCCCTCTGTATGGTAGAGTGGGGTTTTTTTGTGGGGTTTTTTTTTTTTTCACTTTAACAAAATCTGGTTGAAACTGGTATGTTCCCCTGCAGTTTTTTTGATTTGGCAAATGGTGCACTCAAACAGAAGGAATTGTTCCACTGGAATGCTTGAAACCAAGTGCAACCCTAGGTCGTATCTAAACCTGTTACATCAAGATAGCAGCTGCTTGTAGTTTAGCTGGTTTTAATTAGAAATAAATGGATGGTGCTGGTGGAAACTCAATGGTTTTGGCTACAGACTCTGTTTCAAATAGCTGGTTACACAAAAAAAAGGAAAGTTTAAAAGCAATCTTGTTAAACAAGATGTTTGTCCTTTTAAGCTCTAATAGTACAATAAACAGAGATGATTTGGATTAGTTCCTGGAAGCAGAAGGTAGAAGGAACATCTTATGTTAATACAGTTCTCTTCAACCATGCAGACTTCTTCTGTCTAGAATATTCCTGCCTCTCTTGGGACTTTGCTCCATTGATTTAATTGGACCGGTTAATATCCCTAATCTAAATAGGAGGTAATTTATCATGGTCTGAAATGGCTTTGCTTGGTGCAAATCCAATCACCAGTGTAAGCTATGAATCAGGGTAAGTCTCAACTGCATATGGGGATTTCTAATGCGGTACTCACTTGGATAATGTCTAGGGGATTGCACTTTGCTGTTTCCAATTCCTATATTGTTTTGAAGCTGGGAACATTGATACCAATGATACCAATGCATCATCTGATTTGGATTAAAGCCGTGCAGCAGGCAATAAAGGAGATGATACGGATTTGGGTTCTCCTTTTGCCTCTTATGTTTGACAAGGAGAACTACCCCTTTGTGCAGATTCTGCTTACTGTCCCTCTGTCTGTGTAAATCTGTGACCTGCACCAGTGCTAACCTGACAGAGGGTTGTCAGCGCCTTGTAAAGGGATGCTGAAATGGGACAGTGACCCAGATCTTAGAATTCATAATTGCATTCTATTCCATACTTAGCTGAAGAAAAATCCCGTTGGGAGACAGTTTAAAATACCGGTTTTATTTTTAATTTGAAAATGGATTTACATTTTGCTAGGGGTGACTGAAATGGTAAAATGAAGAGGAAGGTGAGAAAATGTTGCAGACCGACTTCTTTCTCAGGGTCAGAATTAAAATTTCTGCTCTTATTAACTTGTTTTTAAATAAATCCAAGGAGAGAAAATGAGAGAGTCTTAATTTTATTTGTCACTAAATAAGAGAAGAGCTCCTTAATGGAGAAAATGAATAAATTGATATTTCTTGATGACTCTAGTGAGCATGGTAGTTGATGAAGAAAGGAGTGGGTGTCATTGCTAGCAGTAAAGAGATCAAACTCCCATGCCCCTTTCAAAAGCAAACCACAGCCCAAATTAAAACCATTTTGCACTCCTTGCAAAACTAGGCAGTGCCTCTGTGGGTGGGACTGTCACAGAGGTGGGCAATGCCACCCTTGGCAAGCAACTGTTGCCCTTGCTGGGAGTCTGCTAAAGCGAGAAAGGGAGAAGCACTTCTCCTGGTGAACTTTCCTCCCTCAGCATTATCAAGGTTTGATTCATATGGGTGTGAAAGGAAGCAAGATCTATTCAGTTTTCTTGATCACCTCTTTGCATCTCCCTTGAAGGCCAGAGAATAGGTGGAGCAGTGATTTTCCCTTTCCACTGAGGTAGCCAGTGTTTTAAAACAGGGGAGTTGTTCTTCCTTGGCTCCTGGTTACTGCACTGCCCGGGTTACCAGGAACAGTCTGCCCCTGTGTAAACTGAACTCAATTATTTCCAACCCTTTCATTTTCCTTCCTTTGGTCTTTTGTCTCACCCAGTAATAGCACCCCCGGTTATCGTACCACATTGGGCAGTCTTCTCGGACACTTGGCAAGGGCCCAGCTGGAGCCTTTTGTGGTAGTGAGCCTTCAGAATTTTGCTTTTTTTTCCCCATGGATATTTTTAGTTCAGGTGAAAGCTGCTGTTCTTAGTGAGAGCTCTTACATGTTCTTGTGCTCTATGACAAGAGAACTCCAAACTGCAGAAGTTGCTTACGGTATATATAGAAAATCAGAAAAATTATTTCAACTCCAGATGGTCTGATAAGTCTTTTTTCAGGAGAGGAAAGTCCTTGCCTCTGATTTTCTTTGTAGGTGTTTATTGTGACCTTAACCCAGTATTAGGAAAAAAAAAACCAAACCCTAAAACTTGTTCTGTAGCATTTCTTGCTGCACTGAATTTTTTAGCCCAGAATAAGAAATGTCTGCTTTCTGCCCTGCTCACAGTCTTTCTCTTTTGGCCCTTTGCCATCTGCCGTGTTGCTGGTTTGCTTCCTCCCCAGATCTCTATCCTCTGCCCAGCTCTACGGGGCCATGTGCGGGTGTGCAGGAGAGGGGGTGTTTGGGATGGACTCCCAGCTGGGGCTGGAGAAGTTTTGTGAAGATGGACATTTAAGCTCTGATGCCGAGCAGGAGGAGATAAGCACCTTGCCATGCTTACGGCTTACCCCTTGCCATGCTTATGGCTGTCCTCGATTAAGTGTAAATGAGATTAAAAGTTCACCAAGGAAAGGATTTGCTGATTTTTAGGGGGATCTGATACTCATATTATTATTTATTTTTTTTTTAGCTGTGTTTGCACGTACAGCTTTTCTATGGCACTGCATTCAGGCAGCAGCAGGTAGTGCCTTCCTTTTCTCATGCCTAAAGATGCTAGGTCTGTGAGGGGCTTTGGCTCAGGTCGACCTCTCAGGTTGACCTCAATGTGGGTGCTATCAAGAGCTGGTCTATCAAAGCCTGGGAGAGTCAGTGGCAGAGGTGACAAGCTGCATGTGCCAGTGTCTGGAGCTGCTCGCAGGGAGGGTGGGAGCTGAGCTGTGAAGAGGCTACGTAAGGAAGAAGAGTGGGGCTGGATGAAACCTACTGAAATCAGCAATAAACCCCCTAATTCTACTCCCACTGTAATCAAAAAGCCTGATTTTTAATACTTGGGAAATTCTGGGCTCAACCGAACTGTCCTTGAAAAACTGTTTGTTAAAAGCAAGAGCAAGCACAGAAAGACCCCAGACAACTAAACAATTCACTCAGGTGGCTCTTACAGCATTGAGACTCTGTTTTAATTCAGTCATAATGAAGGGGAAATTTAAAGTAGTTGCCAATTGTCACTCAGACAGAAAAGCAGATGAGACTCTTTATTTTCCAAACTATTTAGATTTGAAGCTGCTCTGGGGAAGGAGCAGGCAATTCTGAAATCATGGGTCCTGTGGGTTTTATGTGACTTCGTTGGTTGGTTTTGTTCTTTGCTGAAACTGCTGAACTTCACATTTTTTTAAAGTGTTTGATTAAGTTATTATTTGTTTTCCAAAAGCATTTCAGCTGACTTCTGATGAACAGGCGAGAAGCTTCTCAGGAAGCTTCCTGTGTCTTAGTCATATCAATGTAATATTGTTTAGCCATGCAAATACTTTCATAGGAAAAATAGTTTACACCCTGAATTCAGAAACTGGGTGAGGACAGTAGTTTGACCCAAGGACTGACTTACTAGAATAAGGGTATGTTTTGTAAAGATTTGTTGGTGTTTCCCATTTTTATATTAAATCCTTTGATTTCTTCTACTGTGAGTTTTTTAAGCATCTTCGAACACTTAAATCTTGACATCAGTTAGATTATTTTTTGTATGACATTGGTTTAGGTAAAAAAATTAACCAAACATCTGCTTCAAAATGCAATTTGAATTCCAATTCATTTGAGATCTTAATAAAGCAATTTCAGATCTTATGATATACAAATGGATATAATATTTGCTTTTCTTTTTTCCATCTACAAAAGCAAGTGTATTCACAGTGTGATACTGAATATATATTGGATTTTTTTTTGTCTTTATATTTCTTCTCACATGAGTGCCATGTCACAAAACCCAGAAGGGCCAGTGTGCACTTCACTGAGGGCAAAATTTTGCCTTTTACAGTAATCTGAAGGACTGTGGTGGGATACTGGATGTGAGGGTCAAAAGCCTTTCCCTTTGAAGCTGTCAGTTCTACGTTGTCTCACAGTGCTTCAAATCGTCGGGTCTTAGGATTAGTCTAGGTTTATTTTCAGTAAAAGACAAAGACATGGAGGTAGCTGCAGAAAAAAATTTGGTGCTGGTATAATATTACAGATGGATTAGATAAAGAGAATGATCTCAGATTTTGAGTCCAGCTCATAAAGTGTAGCTTTATGTAGCTTTTTGTAGCTCATAAAGTGTCTGTGAAATTTCTTTCAAACCCCTTCTTACCCTGTATGCAATTTTCTTATTAGTTTATAATAGGGTACTTGGGTTTCTTATGTAGGCTGTTAATTGGAGATAAGAGCATTTAGCCTTTTAGGCTGCTGTTTTAATTACGATAATGTGTAAAATATATCAGCAAAGCCCGTTTGTCTATGCCAACTAAATTTGTTAACTTCAGTCCAGTTCCCAGTGGCCTGGTGCGTGTGTAAGGCAAATTCCAACAGCAGTGACACTAACTGTCTTAGCCCCGAAACCCATGAAGTGAATCAAAAATGGAAACCAGACTAGCTTTGAGTTTCTGAGAGCTAAGTGACCCCTGCCATGAGGACTGGGAGACACGAATGGGGAACCATTCGTTTGGGCTGTGTTCTTGTGCATGAACAACAGGCCGCAGTCTCCAGGGCTGGCAAGCTGTCACCCTTCATTACATTAAACCAACATGAAATAAACCGAGAAGCCAGAAGTAAATACAGAATCCACAAAGAAGGCTTTTCTATGCATGGTGAGAAAGATGTGGGCTAACCTGCTGGGCTGTGTGGCTGAAATAGGAGAGGTTAAGAATTATTTTACATTTTGGAGAAGGAAGTCAAGATACGGAAGAACGTGGTGGTGAAAAGCAAGCAGGAAAAGAAAGTGGATTTGAGAGCCAGCTCAGGCCTGTAGAACAGAGTGCTTATTAATTTTTTTTTAAGTCTCTGTGTTTCTAAGCCTTTTCTGTGTGTTTGTTTCTCATTTCAGATTGCCTGTTTGGTGCCTGTTGACCAGTTTGAGTTCTACAAGAGGCTGAAGTTTGAACGAGGTGCGAACCTTTTGGTTTCTATTACCTTCATTTTGAAAGTGTCAGTGGAGGCAGCAGTATTACATACTGCAAAGACAAAGCCAGTTGGGCGAGTTATGGAAGAGACAGAGAAGATGTCTTTCTTTTGAAATAGTTTAAGAGCAATCACTAGGTCTGACTGTGCTCCACAGACAAATTTGAAATTATTTCAGTGCAGCAGAATCAGCAGAGTGGCATCTTACTGAAATACCATGCTTTTACTCAAGCTTGTGGGCTGGTGCAGGGTCTTCATGGTCCGTTCATCCATCCATCCATCCAGATCTTCACAACTTCTAGGGGAGACAGACCCTGCAGTCTGATGGGAATTTTTACAAACATCCCTGCACGAGAGCTTTTCTTATGTAGAAGCTTTGTGTGTGTTCATCTAGTTTGTGTTTTGTTTTGGTTTGTTTTTTGTTTTTTTGGTTTTTTTTCTCCTGAGGGATAATTGGACCCTTTCTTACTGAGTAAGGCCCATTAGGAAAGAAGTTTGAAACTGCAGGTCTTACTAGGGCTGAGCTTTGGTATGCCGGAGGTCAGCCTTCTGCTTCAGGAAGATGGTTCCTCGATGAAGCTGAAGAAGCAGCTTGCTAGTCAGAAAGATGAGGTCCCACACTGGTTTTAAAGACTGACACCAATGCAGATGTTCCTAAAATTTAGACACAGTAATGTACTTTAAAAGGTACGCAGATAGAAGAGTATACAGGTTTTTATAGAATCTCATCTGGCATGAATCACTGTGAATGTTCATGAAGTGAAAAAACAGCAAAATGAGTATACCCGAGTAAGCCCCAGAGTTCATGGGCAGATATAGATTGTAGCTATGGTTTTCAGGCACTCAGGCCAAAAAAGTAAAAAAAATCACAAACCTTGCTTTTTTTTTTTATTTCTTCCTCCTATTTTATCTTCTAATTTACCCTTAATTCCTTAGGAAGCTACTCCAGTTCATAAGCCAAGCAGTGGCTTGTTTACAGCCGTGGACGGTGGAAATCAGAGCTTGTTAAATCAGCATATTAAGGGGTTAAGAAAGTGACCTGTTCTTGCAATACATTAATCTGTTTTATGTAAAACCTTTTTTTAACTGAAGACTGTGAAACTAATGATTTCCTGGTATCTCCTCCTCTATAACTAGCCAAAGCTGAACTTATGATCTTTTGTCCAATTCCCTTTACATCTCTTTTTTTTTTTTTTTTTTTTACTGCCTCCCACGCACTGAAGCCTGGAACTTGTCTATTTTTTAAATCCTCCTTCCCTTTTCTTTCTTGCCTAAGTCTGACAAATCCTCCTCCACCTCCACTACCTCTCTTCATTATGTTTCTAAGATCTGTCCTTTCTCCTTTATGGTGAGTAATACTGGCATCCAAGTGGCAGGCTTAAACGTAGCCTTTTTGCCTTGCCTATTTGCCCCAGCAATAAATCCATTTTACTGATGCCTGGGAACAATGTTTCCTGATAACTAAAGCTCTGACCTGGACACCAGCACTAATCCCAACCCCAGCTGAGACCTTTTGCCTACCCTTGATTTAATGCTGCCCCCCGGGGCTGACCTCTTTGGACTCATCAGTTGGACTTGGCTTGTTAGCTTCTGCTGGCCTGAAGCTCTGTTCTCAGACCTGACCCTAACCTGGCAAAGCCTGTCTCGTGGTTTGGGCCCTGACCCGTGCCAACGCTAGCCTGACAGTCTTCTTCTGAAACTAGCAATAAACCTTGCTGGTGGCACCTGCTGGGGCCAAATTCTGACCCAGAATCTGCCCAGGGACTCCTGGCAGCAGAGATCTGTTGTGTGCCTTGTGTGTGTGTCAGCCTCAATGCAACCCAGCCCTTTACAAACCTAGCACTATGGAAAACCCAGGTCACTACTGCCTATCTCTGCCCTCCCCTCCCTTAAAAAACACAGGTACTGGGGTGTCCTTCATGACTTTGTCTCTGATCAACAAAGCCCTTTATTCAAACCCTTCAGCTTTGCATATTTAGCCCTCTCTCAGCTTTCTTCTGTTGAGATATGGGTTCTTTGCTACAGCACCCCCTTTACTCTACTAGAAATGCTAGAAATAAATAACCAGCTTCTTGGGTAAGTCAAAAGACTTGCTCTAGCTCTGTAGTCTTTGCTTACCAGTCTTCAAGTCATTGGTAAAGCCAATGCTCCTCACCCTTCCAGACATTTTTCATCATGAGATGAACTTTGAGAAAAAATTTGAAGACCTGAAGAAGGACTTGTGCATCCAAAAGCTATTTTCCCTGTTCCTCATCTGTGCTAACTGTTTTAATAAAATATATTTCCTGCCCATTTCCTTATTTTTAAAAAAAACTGGGCAGATAATATTGGGTGAAAAAGTTGTGAGAATGCAATTGGCATTCAATTGGCATGCAATTGTATATCTATATACACTTGCTTAGTTTAATAAGGAATGCACCAAAAAGTATTTTACCCTCTTGGGGTTTTTTTGTGTTCTTAGAATGCAAAAGTTTTCGGGCTTAAAACCAAGCTTTCTTACGTATCTGTAATTTCTCCGCATCCAGTCAGGACCTAGCTAGCCACAGAGCTTCCGTGCAGCATGTTTTAATAGAAGAAACAGGAATTGCTTTATGTCTGTTTAGGATGAGGTTGATGTGGTCATCAGAAGTAACAAAATAGAGGAATAGGATGTGGTTAGGACATATGCATTCTGTTTCTATTTCTGGGACAATTGCCCAATCGACCTAGTGGTAGAACCTCCATTTTATGCCTGACCGAAAAGTAGTCCATTTTAAGAGGATGTTGTTCCTAATATTCTGTGAAAGGCGTGGGCTCATCTTTTCTAGTGGGTCTCTCTCCTGAGCCAGTTTTCCTTTCTTCAGGATGCTGCATTTTCCCTGTTTGGTTCCCACACCTCACCAGCTTGCTTGAGCATTTTGTGAAAACTGACTAGATCCCTGTCCAGCACTGTTTGGTGAAGCGAGTGTGGATGAACTGGCAGTGGAGAAGCAGGAAAAGGCTTGGGAGAGAAATGATCCTAACCCCAAAGATGGAGCAGCTTGTGAGGGCAATACGAGAGCCTCTTTCCCTTTTTTTTTTTATTTTTTTTTTTCTTCTGCCTCTTTTTAGTTTGTTCTGGTTTAACTTGTGCTCCATGGTAAACCAAACAGTATGAGACAGCATGGATTGCAAAACACCGTCTGTAAGTTCTTTGTAAAATGAAGGAAATGGGAGAGGAGGGAGTTTCATCTCAAGCATTACATCTTACTGCAACAAATTTGTAAAAATCAGTGAGATTTATAACCTAACTCCCCTCCTCCCAATGAAGTCAAAACCAGACATCCAAAAACAGGACAGGAGAATTTAGGTTTCCAATGTTGAGTATGTTAAGAAACTATCTGCAGGAACCGGACTTTAACTCATTTTAACTGCTGTTTAGCAACAGAAAGAATACAGAACCCTACTGTGTGAAGACTTAAATGCAATAGCCAGTACTAGGTCGTGGTCTTAGCCAGTTCAGAGTTTCTTTTAAGAGACACCAAGTGAAGCTACAGAAGTAATGATTTCTCAGTCAGGACACTACCTTTTAGTAGTATGTAAAAATGTGAAATGGCTTGTACCGCCCATCCATGTCTTTCTCTTCTCCCCAGAAATAAAGCTGCAAATTAATTTGTTCTGGCTTTCAATCAGTAGAAAGCAAAATGTTTATTTTGGGAGACAAAGGAAGCACACGTAAGAGAATAAGAGGAAAGAAGGGAACTAGATTCATGAAGTGGCTGGAGGTAGATTGTACAGATATTTTGCTGGCACTGCCTAAGTTATAGATGACAGCCTTTGCCATTGTTGTAGAAATTCTCCACATCTCTGTGGAGATACACATACTCTGACAAATACTTAAAAATTACCTGTGTGTCCTGCAGCCAGCAGAGAGGATGATCATCTTTATGTGGTTCCTCACTGTAAGTGTCCTGGACAAATGAGAGGGAGGGATGGCTTTCAGCAAACTGGTAGCTTTGAAGGTGAACCAGAGAGGTTTGGTATTCTGGAAAAGAGTTGAGTTTCTAGCACACATTAGGTTACAAGGTTTGTGGGGTGTCCTTCACCCCAGGTGCACATGCATGGGTATCTAAGTGCTTGAGGTGCTTGGTGGAGAGTTCTACTACTTTGAACACATTTCTAATTGTACAGGTTCTACTGTCTGGGTATCTGGGCACTGAACTGATAACCACTGTTTTTCATGCTGACTGAGCATCTGCTAGATATCCATCCACCAGCCCCCTTCACTGTGGGCCACCAGCAACCTGCTGCAGAGGAGCAGTGCAGGCAGGGGGATGTGCATATGAGGAAGTGTCTTCAACTGCTTCAGCAAAATTGTCCTGAGAACATATGCCTGGGGCCCTTGTGCAGCCTTTTGCTTCAAGTGAGACAATATTTTTTTCTGCTGGAGGTAGAGAAGAACGTTGTATGGCTTTTGACATCTCACAGTCAGGGACTGCCACTTGTTCCTGAAACGTCCCCTTTATCTCTTTATTTTCAGTGGTGGTATGAGAGAGCTTCCAGTGAAGGAGGAGAGACAGACAGCTCCTGCAGGAACAGCAGCCCTTTTCTAAGGAGGGTTTGCAGGGTGGGAGTGTTTGGCTGCACCTCATGGACTTGGGCCAGTATAAAGCACACACACACAGTTGGCACCCCTACCAGTGAACGTGTTTCAACTGGGTTTCTGTTGCAAGTCCAAATTCCTTGAATAAAGGTTGGGGGACGAGAGGAAAAATCAACATTTTCTGTTCTCTGCCATGCAGTGATACCTGTAACTCAATGTCTCCACCCCAAATCTTGCCTTGACTATTGTTGTAAAGTGATACCTGACAAATAATGATCGTATAATAACCTGAATGTTAATTGGAGTCTGTAGATAGAGGGGAGGAAATAAAGCATGGAAAGTGACTTGGTGTTAATTTAGTGACAGTTCTTCTGCTATTTACGTGAAAGATACTTCATGGCTTGCACATTTGAAAGACATGGAATGGCCTAATGTCACAAGATACGTGCTTCTCAGCAAGCAGCACTTATGTTTGTCTTTGTACCTCCCTATAAAGGGAAAGAATAGGTCCCACGTCCTGTATTGGTGTTCTTGTGATGCTTCCAGCACACCTGCAGACCTGCCTAAAGAAGAGGAATGGGCACAGAGGGCTTCAGCTTTCCCACTCATATGCAGGATTGGGCCTTGCGTACCTAGACACGTGTCGCAGGGATGAGAAGGGGACTTCTGTATATAAACAGCTTGCTTTCTCTCTCTGTTATGTTTCAGAAGTCCACCTGGACCCCCAGAGAACATGGTGCCCAGCAGTTGACTGCCAAACGGTGTGCCGTATTGCTCCGAGCGAGTCCGGAGGCCCGGTGCCGGTGGAGTGCCCGGCTTGCCGCCTGACGTTCTGCTCCGCTTGCAAGGAGGCATGGCACCCACAGCGCCTCTGCCAGGAGAATCAAGCTACTCCAGTACCAACTGAGCAGGGGTAAGAGGGGGACCCACGGAGGTAACATGGTCTTTCAGTTCCTTCTGGCACTGGGTGCTAGCTTTGTGCCTCTTATTAGTTTCATGGAATGGCTGCCTTCTGACATCTCAGGTACATCTCTGAGACTTCCTATCTCTCCTGGTGTTTCCTAAATATAACTCCAGTCTAGATACTTGTTTAAGTATGTTTAAAATCTATGATACATTGTATTTTTTAATACTTATTATTAATATTATCTGGGTACTTACCAAACTTGTGAGTTCACTGACGCTTCTAAAAGCTGAAGCCCTCTAGGGCTTTCAGTCTGCCTAAAGGCTTTGTTTGCCTGCTAGAATTACTATTTATGCCATACAAAAAATTCCACACACTAATATTCCAGGATCCAAACTTTGCTTATACAAAGAATAAGAAATCATCCCTGCTTAATATTTTTACAATCTCTGCATAGCCAAATCTTAACTGTTACACAGAGTGGGTGTAAAATGTCCCATTTGGTATGAGAAATCTGATTTATGCTCATTTTGCATAGGTGTAAACAACCTGCAGATAAGGTTGCATAAGGCATTAATCTACAGAAAGAAAATACCTCTGTGTTTAAATTATAAAATGTCTGTGGCCATCCATCTTTGTTTTCAGAATCAGATTGTTCAGTCATGTGTGTTCAAAGCTTTTTATCATTTTTTGCAAGAAAAAAAGAGACTTACTTAAAATGTAAGCATTCTGCATGCTAGAGACTTTATCAAATAGGAGTTACCAGAGAGCTCTTATCATAATTTTTCTTCTCCGGAAGACTTTTGGCTTTGGTGGAGTTTAGGGCTATTTTGCTCAGGCAGGGACAGTGCTATAAATTGCATAATCCAGTCCTATTAAATGAATGGTGCAAGCTGTTTTACAAAGTGCTAATTTTTAATGCTATACATGATACATTTGTGGGTATTCTGAGTCTTGGGTTTATTTAGCATAAAAGTCCAAGGGAATTGCGTTTCACTTTTACATGATCTTACTCCTGATGGTGAGTATACTTCAGGGTATTGTACTGAATATAACAAGGTTCACACATTAATTGCATTAAAACAACATTAGATGCACATTAAAATAAGCACAGTACACATTAGGCAGTGGAGCTGAGTATCGAAAGTAATTACATTCACATTTCACTTTAATATTTTGTTTCTTTTCTAGATCACTTATTGGAACGGAGACAGAGATACCAATTAAGCAGTGCCCAGTTTGTCGGATCTATATTGAGCGAAACGAAGGCTGTGCTCAGATGATGTGCAAGAACTGCAAGCACACGTTTTGCTGGTACTGTCTACAGAACTTGGATGTAAGTGCTGCAGAAAAAACCCACCTAGGTAAAGGGTAATGGTGTTTGGGTTTGTCAGAGGCCCTGTACAACTTCTCCACCAACTCGTTGACATCCTAGTGAAGAACTCAGTTCAGCTTCTAACTTCATTTCTTTGTTCTTGTTCATCCAGTGCTTTTATTTATATAAACACCCTTTTTCCAGAAAGGATTATAGGCATGTGCCTGGGTCCCATTTTAGTTCTTTGAGTGAAATGGGACAGACTGGTGTTTTTTTCTGGAGGTCCATTCCAGCACTACCTTTCGCTGATTCTCTCTTCTGGTGCAGAAGAAAAATATATTTTGGTTGAGAGCCAGGGAAATAAGTGTCTTCCACCTGCTCTGACTGGAAGGTTCACAGTCTCCTTTCCCAGTCCATCTCTAGTCCTGTGTTTGCTGAAGAGAATGAGTGGCTAGGAGACTTGAGAATAAAAATACTAGATTATAAAAAAGGAATATGAAGTGCGGGTTGCTAGTTATTTCTCAGGTGATACCAACGAGTTCCAGCTCATGTGGACTTCAAGTTTCCTAGCAGTGTTAAGAGTACAGGAAGTAATGTGCTTGTGTGTGTGGCAGCTTCCATTTTTTTTCCAGAGTAACAACTGTGGGAGTGTGAAAAGGTCTTGAAACAAAAAATTCCAGCACTTGAAATAAAATGTTAGGTGCTGCATGGCTTTTCTACTTTTTTTTTGTACTCCACAGCCAGCAAACAATGAAAACTTCCTCATTCTTCATCCTTCCTTTTCTCAGCGTGCTAAACAGGTTTCGCTTAGTTTTGTGTCCCGTTTCTGTGTGTGTGAAAGTGCCTTTTCGACACTGGTCTTAGGGCTTGCCTCAGAGTATGGCAGCACACGATTGCTCAATGCTGTGCTGAACTGGAAGACTGTCAGATTCTCACAGGCTCTGCAGACATGCCCTTACCAAGTTTTCCTCAAAGGAAAAGAAAAAAGAAAAACTCTAGTTGTGTGATTCAAATGTAGTTGTTCTACAGGTGCAGGGTTACCCGAGCTCCGGGTGCAGGTGAAGGTAGAACCTGCAGAGCCAACAAAGAGGGATGAGAAATGACAGGGGAAGCAGGGTCAGGTGGCAGTGCAGCCAGCTAGGGGAGGGGAATGCAGGGCATTACTCACCTTCTGAAGAAAAAAATAAGTATTAATGGGAAAAGAGAAAGGAAACGGGGTTTTCCTACTTTCTAAATTTTCCTGTTAAGCCTTGGAAGAAAATGACTCTAAAGTGCAGGGACAGCAGGAGAACGGAATGTACAAGTACCTCAGGAAGATGATCCCTCAGATTGCAAGTTTTCAGAAATACCTGTTGTTTACAAGCACCTTTATCATCACCAAATGACAGACGAGGTACTTGTGCAATAGGTGCAATGCACATGCTTGCACTTTTAAAACGTGGGGGAGGAGAGCTGCTGTACAACAGCTCAGGTCCCAGACACACCACGCTTTTTGAAACTGCAAGAAGTTTCTCCAGATAATTACTCGGAAGACAGGCGGTAATTTTACAGCTGGTAATTTTAAAGCAGTGTCAGGAAGGTTGTATTTCCAGTTCAGTCTTGAACCTCTCCCCCCCAATACCGTAACCTGTTCTTACAGCTTCGCCCTTTGTTTTTCAGAACGATATCTTCTTACGACATTACGACAGAGGCCCTTGCAGAAACAAGCTGGGCCACTCGCGGGCTTCGGTCATGTGGAACAGAACACAGGTGTGTTCCTGGTCAGATGAGCAGAGCTCTCATGAGTGCATGGAGCAAAGAGATTTTACCCTTTAGTGATTATTTTCATGGTTTCATCTATTTTTTTTTTCTGCATGCACGCATGTATTTTATTTTCCACATTAGCTAAATGCGTATTTTTCACCACTGTGTCTTGCAGGTTGTGGGGATCCTCATTGGACTAGGTATCATAGCCTTGGTGACCTCTCCCTTGCTGCTCGTGGCATCTCCATGCATCATCTGCTGCATTTGCAAATCTTGCCGAAGCAAAAAGAAAAAACACAGCCCACCAACAACCTAAAACTCTGTGTCCAATTGAGCCTCCGCCTCTACAGCATATGTGTGTTGAGAAAGCACAATGGTTGTGTTTCGGTGCCATACCTACCAAATAATACTCCCTTTTGTTGCCAATTCTTGGGATAAGTGCCTATTCTTTACAGGCTACTCTATCACTAACAAGTCCCAGTGTGGGAAAAGTCGATTATTGTGCAGTACATATGGTGTAGGGTTTTGCTTTCTAATAAGAAAATGGGACACCATCCAGTAGTTCATACCCTTAAATATGAGCCACCTTTTGAGACTGCTAGAACTTTACCATCTTCCATCAGCTGCACATGACTCGATCCTGCAGTATTACTCTGCCTTTGCAGACCTGGTTGTTACTGTCACGCTTTCTGTTGGTTCTTGGTGACGCTGGGATTTCTCAGAAAGTTTTGGGTATTTTGTAAAAGAGGGAGAGGTAACAGCCTGATTAAGCTCTTCTGTTTGCTAGCTTGTGTCCCGTTAAAGGTAACAAACTGTTAAGAAAATATATTTGACAGTTTCCTGCCAATTGGCTGCCATGGCATTTCTTTCAGCATTGAAATCAATTTGATTTATACTATTGATCTCAATTACAGAAGTGAAAAACAACAAAACTATTTCTAGCTAAGATAGAGCTCTCTTTTGAGAGAGTGGACTAGCTTGAGAAAGCTGTTATTTTTTCAGATCAAACATGAAATATCTACCTTGAAATATTAGGTGTATGCATAATTTCCCTGCCATTGGGCATGCCTGTTGTCAGTAAGATGGGTGTAGCAAACTCACCATGAAGCTAATGTTTGAAGAAAGGCCATGATAGGGTTACTGTTTAGTGTGCAGCGTTGGGATCTTGGTTGTGCATCTACAGTGGCCGCATGGGCATGGTTATACCCAGTACATATGCACAATTTATTTTCTAGGCAGTCAGTATATTTTTTTCAACAGTTTACATGGGGTGGCAGTAAGAACCCTGTTAAAAAGTTACTGGGACCAGGCTAAGCCAAACCCTCCTTTGAAACCGTAGGGACCTGCTGAGGTGAATACTTGAGAAATGCTGTGTAAATGTGAGCTCTGTCCATCGGTGGGTATTTCTTCTGTCCCGCTCAGGGTTAACAAAGTCTGTTACAGATAATTTTTAGTTCCCCTAAATCTGAAAGGCTGTCATTTAATGAACCCTTTGTTTTAATTCGGTGCCTCACCGCCAAACCGATTCAGACCCTGGTGTGGGTTACACCTGTCTAAGTTCGCTGGAGCCTCACTGAGGAGCTGGAGTTACTCCAGGTTCACTCAGGAGTGGCTGAGATCAGACTCTGCTCCCTGGAGTTCATTTCCTTGGTGGCTGGTGCTCCTCACCCCCCTGGCCAGTGGTGGCTTTTTCCTGGGGCTCCTGTTCTGTGCGTTTTAGATCTGTGGGAGCCGCCGTTGCGCTGTGTGATCAGTTGTAATTCCAAACCCCTTTCCATAAGGGCTGCGAGGTTTCAACGAGATGCTCGAGCCCTGGCGCCGTGTCGGGGTCACCCTCTGTCGGCCTGCCCTCCTCCCTGCACACAGCACGAGGCACCCCAAAAGTGCTGCCAAGAGCCTCTGTGCTGTTGCCTTTGGCCGAGCCTCAGGAACTTTGCCTCCTTGGCAGCCGTAAATGTGACCTTTTTCTTTTTTTTTTGTTGTTGTTGTTGAACTTCGCTCTCTGGTTACTGTAACAGAAGTGGTAGGTGTTCTTCTTTTAAGAGAGTGTAGTCTGTTGAGCAGACTAGCAGGGACAAAGGCCTTAAATAATATTGTCTGTTTTGCTTTTTAATTGATTTCTTTTATAAATACTGTCTGACTTTGCTCCCAGTCGTGACTGGAGGGCAGGCAGCGCTCGCCAGTGTGAAAGGCTATATTTATTCTCCATCCACGGCTTGGAAGGGAAGCAGAAAGGTAGTCAGTACATTCTAAATACAGAGTGCAATGCAGGCAACTGCCACTTATAATAAATAGAGAATGTTTTCTGTATGTGTTTCCTTTAAGAGCAGTAATGGTAGTGCTGGAGGGTACTTGTGACAGATTAAAGTGTCCAGCCCTTGGCTTTGCACTATTTTTCTACCTATGTTTTTATGGCACTACTGTCATTTCCATTTTATTTATGAACTTGAAGTTGAGAGTCTTACTTTAACGAAGCCTCAAGGACAAAGATAAAGGAGCTGTACAGTCTTTTTAACCATAACCAGCGTTGCAATGCACCAATAATCTTTGCATGTTAAAATAAATGGGTTTTTCATGTTTTGTGGTCTTACCTATGTCCAATGCACTCTCTGCTAGTCTGGTTTCTTTCCTTGTCCTCTCCTCCTTCCCCTTGGCTGTTTTTGCTAAAATTCCTAATGGATCAAGGTGTCTCATGTTTTTGTTTGTTGTTTTTGTTGTTGTTGTTGTTGTTTTCATTAATACTGCTGTATTAATGAAACTGCCAAGTTCTTCCCTCTATTAAAGAAACGCAACTGAAGGCAGTTGTCTTGCCCAGAATACACAAGGTCACCATTTGAATTGAAATACGAATTTGACCTTTTTCGGTTCTTTAAATGTTGTTTAAGGTTAATGCAGATCTCTCCATAGAGTGGGAATTTGTTTAAATGGTTTGTAGGATAATATTTTATAAAAGCATTGCACACGTGAGTAGCTGCAAAGTCTGGGAAAACAACACTATTCGGTTTATTTTTAACTCCTCGGTTTAAGTGCAGGGTAACTCCTTTCAGAGGGTAGTTCCTGCAGAGCAGATGGGAGGTGTACCTTCCCCATGTGCACATTTTATTGCCGGGGCCAGTTCAGGTGTCTGGTGAGGGTACCAAACCTGGTAGAAATTCAATATGTTACTTTATTCCCTCCGAACCAGGGGAATTCAGCCCTTCTGAAAAGTGGGCTCTGGATGTTTAAAGCTCAGATCCTAAAATTAGAGACCAGTGCCAGAAATCTGGATTTTTACTGCAACTGGTCACAAATCTCCACGGCCACATATCTCATTGTAATTTCCCAGCAGTCACTGGAGCTGAGTCAAACACAGTTGAGCATCCCACTCAGCACCTCGTGTCCTTGTGTTAAAATGAGGATGATGATGCCTGCTCCCAAAACCACCTCTTAAGAAAAAGAAAATATTTGTCATGGTATCCTGCAAGTCCTTCCCTGCAGTATTTATCCTAGAACTATGGGAGGTGGTCAATGCTGCCGTTCAGTAATTAGTGATTTATTAATCATGCATGGGGTTACTTACCACAAAGAAGGGCATGAGGGATAACAGTGATTAATGTTTCCACAGTGCTTTAATGATGCTAAATGCTACGTACTGTTGTCTGTCCAGTAACATAGCATAAAGCCCAAAGATAGGTTTAAAATGTACATAATTTTTACTTGAATGAACTAAGAGAAACTGGATATTACCTTCATATTTGCTTGAAGGTATACAAGCGGACAGAAATCAACTGCATTTCCAGGATGGGACAATGAAATCAACTCCTGGCTGCTCTGTTCTCTGGCACCACGGCAGGTGGTTGTGCTGTAGTGCCTGCCGCTTTAAAAATTTGAAATCTGTTTTGCACTGTAATCTCCTTCTCCTGGTCACTTTAATTTTTCTCAAACTAATTCCTATCACGATCGTATTTTTCATCCTCTACCTCAAGCCAAAGGTTCTTAGAGCGAAATTAGTAGATTTCTTTGTATGAGGATAAAAATCTTCCAACAATTTTCTCCCAGTTTTTAATAAGAAATTTGATACTGAGATAAATGACCAAAGACAGAAATTCCAGACTTGGTTTGTTTAGAAAAAATTATTCAGACTTAAGAAGTTGTCTTGGAAAACCTAAATAAGGACTGCTTTGTTAGAACTCATAGGTAAAGGAGCTCTACAGCTTTTGAGCTTCACAGGAGAGATGCTTCTATTGTTGAACGGTCCTTTTTGGAAATGTGGTGGGGAAAAAATATCTACATCCTATATACAGATTTTTATTAGATAAGTAAAAAGACACTTTCTTTTGTATGGCTTCATATTTTAGGGAATCAACCCCCCCGGAGGCTTTCTAAGGTATACTTCTACAGGAGGATAATTTTAAAAATACACTAAAAGAGTTGAACAGAGTGTGCTAGTTATACGACAGTTGTAAGACATCTCTGATACGTGAATGTGTAGGATCAGACCCTAATTTATGTGGCTGGCAATAAAGATGTGAAAATTACCTCTCCTGGAATAGCGAGAGTTGGTTCTTCTGCGGTCTGCTGGAAGGTGAACTTACTGCTAAGGTTCTGGAAAACTTCAGCCTAATTTTTGTTTGTCTTCTAGTTAGTCAAGTAATGAAGTGAGAGCTGAAGGGTTTTGCTGAACAGGAAGCCCAAAGGTCTGTTTTGTGTCACTACATTCAAGTTACTCAGAACCAATGTGTTTTTATAATTTATACTTATAATTTATACAAGTCGTATATAATTTATAATTAGTAATTATAAAATATTAATTTTGGAGTATCATAGCCTTTTATCATATGATAGATTTATTTTAGGTGTATTCATACTGGAAGCCTTGTCTCTTCTGCTTCCTGTCATGGTGTCCTTCTGGGCATGGTCTTCCTGGCAAGCTAAATTCCTATGATTTGGTGCAGTCCACAGTAAACTGTCACTGCTATTTTTTAGTTATATCAGAGGTTTTGTTATGATCCCTGAAGTTAGTTCTTTGAATCAAGCAAATTTCTGTTATTAGGAAATGAATTTTATTTACTGTCATAACTTGGGCTATAGAAGATGATACTAGTCAGCAAGGTCCACCAGCTTTTTAGAGGACACAACCTCGTTCTTTCTCCTTCTGCCTAAGAGGTATTATCTTTTCTTGGCTGAAAATTAAGGACTTCAGTCATTTGCTTGTGCCTTCTGGATGTCCAAACAGAAGCAGCAGCTTCTGGTGGCCACGTGCCAGGAGATCCCAGACAGGTTGAATGTGTGATGCTGCAGCACGTGTGCAGTCAGTTGCTTAAATTTCAGGGAGGCACCTGAGTTTATGGCTTGCTGGGTCCCATGCAGTAGATGTGGTGCACAAAGGGACTCATCCAGGTGGCTTCATGAGTGCCACCAGCCGTATGGCACGTGTAGTGCTTGGCGGGTGCTGCACCGCAGCCATGATGCCGGGCCGTCCCACCGTGCATGACCGTATCCCAGAGTTTCATCAGGGGCCCTCTCTCAAGCTGGCCCTTTTCCTAGCTACCTGCTCACCCCCAAACCTCCCCAGATTCCACAGCAAATCTCTGTTCCTTTCATTTTTTGCTGCTGGCCTGTTTCCGTGTCAAAGAAACCTCAGTTCAGATGAGATATTTAGGGCTCGGCCGGTCTAAGCGTTCGCTTTGCCTAACGAGCAGGCCTTGTGAACAAAGACAAGCAGGAGTGCTACATGCCACGCGGATGTTGGTGTCAGAGGCACCAGGTCGTAAGGACTCTTTTAACTGCCCCAGCATTGCTTATTCCTGAAAAAATGGCGAGTGGCATGGCAAGGGTTTGTCCCGGGAGGAGGAATCCCCCTGCTCTCCACAGGCCCAGCCCTTCTCGTCTTGGGGGCTCATCTCCTGCGCTGCTCCTCACAGGGGTAAATTCCTCCTCCACCTCTAGATCTTCTTTCCCTGGTACCCGTTTAGGCTCACGTTTTGTTTATCTGGGTTTTGTTTTTTATTTTTGGGGTTTTTTTTTCTTTTTCTCCAGGTAATACACTTTCTTCACCACTTTTCTCCCGGTGAAGGGCAAAAGGGTTTGATCTTTGTAAGATTTGTTAAAATATTTTTGTGTTTATAAGAGGAAAGCTGACATATATAAAGAAATAAGTGCTTTTGTAATTTTTTTTGTTGTATGATTCAGCAGTTAAACATTTTACAGATGCAATTTTTTGCACTCTCTCTGCATATATTCATGAAAAAATGTATTTATTTTCTGTCTTTAAGGTTTACTTTGGGTTTTATTTTCTTCTAATGTTATAAAATGCAGTATGTGCAACATTAAAAAAAAATAGTGTAAAGACATTGTCCAATTTTGTTGTAATTCTTAACTGCCTTTAAAAAGACGAATGTAGGAATTTTATGGGAAGAATTTGAACACCTCTGGGGTGCTGAGTGGGAATTTTGAGGATAAAAGAGGACAGAAGAGATGGAATTGGAATCTTCATGCTTACTTACTGACTCAAAATTAAGTGACATTGAAGTTACCATGAATCTGCCCCCTTGCAAAGCCTGGTGGGCACCACTGCCTGGGATGTACCAGGAGAAACCTGGGGGAGCTGGAGCTACTCCAGGGCCATGGGTGAGGGATGCACAGGAAAGCCTGCTCCTTCAGAGCCCCCTTTCTCTTCTCTTGCTCCCTCAACCCTGCCTTGTTGAGGGAGCAGCAGAATTGGGCCATGTTTCTAAAGGACATGATGGAACACTACACCCTGCCGTGTAATTTCAGATATACACGCTCCTGAGTTTTCTCACACACCCATGTCCTGCAGTGCTTATGAGAGACAATCACAGCTGTGTTTTTTTGATCATCACAGTTTAAGGTGATGTGTGCTATTAAATATTTTCAGCTTGGCTACAAGTGCTCAACATCTGAGGGTAGGACTTTCCACCTGGGAGGCACATCCCTGAAACCCCAGCGAGCCATCTGTGGGGGCTTTTCACCTCAATACATTATCTGAAAGGTCTTGAAAGTTTTGCCTCTCAGGACACATTTCGAGGGTTGAGGAGAATGGCTGGAAGACTGTTTTCACCCCAACGTTGTCATCTACAGCCCAAGATTTTGGCCACGCCTGCACATTTTTTTTCCCCCACCAGTTTGCTCAGAGTAAATTCAGCGGTATGTTATTCCACTTAAACACAGTCTTTTTATTTGTTGACTTGATTTTGTGGCCAAGGCTCTGGTCTTGTTTGGTAAACGTGCAACAGAGCAGCAGCGACGCATCTCTCCACAAGGTAACACAGGTGACGGATTGCAGCAGACCGAGCATTTCCAGCATGGCACTTTGCCTTCAGAGAAGCTTTGTGGTGGGAATGTGTCAATTTTGTCAAACTCCTGATGGACACCAGCTGCTGACAGCCAACGTGCCTGGTGCCCTGCCAGCCTACCAGCTGCTGGTGGTGGGCAAGCTGCCCTGCTCCCCACCTGGTAGAGGGGTGAACTGCCAGCTCCTCACCTGACAACTTGGAAAAAAAAAACAACAACAAATTTTTCCAAGAAAAAAATCAACATTTCTGAATTTCTCTCCAATTCTTAAAATCCCAGATCAGACAAGTGCGAGCATTTTTCAGCGAAGCGGAAAAGTCCAGAGGCCCCGTGACTCTTGTATGGTCACATCTTCTTCCACAAACACTTGTTCTTCAGCAGAACCAGGGCTCAATTACCACATTCAGTTCACTCCCCTAACGTGTGTGGGGAAGTGGCGCTTGCCATTACTCCTGCCAACCCAAACATCTTCTGACCAGCTTTGGAAAAAAAAATAGTCAGTGGCTTCAAATTTGATTTGATCCCAGCTTCAATGTGCAATTTTTCTCTCCAGTTCCTGCACTTGTCATGAAGACTAGTTTTCTTCAACCGCATTTTATTTTATTTAAAATCCCTGGATTTTAAACTCATTGCATTTTTTTTTTTTTGAGATTGCAAAAGGTGTTGTTTACCTTCTTAATCTGTGTATCCAGAACAGCCATCTGCCCACGCACACCCACACCCCCTTCTATGCCGGGGGTGCGTGTTTCCTTAAACACTATCCTCAGCCTGATCCATCCTTCCAGTTTGACAAACATCACCCACGTCGCCCTTGTAAAACACCTCCTCTGGTCTCCCAGTGAGCAGGTCGACATTTTTGCTCCGGGGTGACCCTGCGGGTGATGCTGCCCACCCTGTCATCATTCTGTTATGCTTCTCCATGGGGCCCGTGACTCCTCCTGGGGATGTGTCCTCCTCTGTAGGATTGCCCTTGCAAGCATGTTTCCCAGTGGCCTTTGAGCCTCCGTGGTGGCATCTTTCTCTTTCAAGCCCTCCAGCTCTTCCAATCTGAAAACTTTTTAGTTTTTGGAAACTAGAAATCACTGAAAATTATAACAAAAAGCCATGTCTTTCTACAGAGTCTTCAAGGGTTATGTCAGAATTAAAAAAAACAACCAACCAACCAATCAAAAAACCAAAACCACCCACAAAACCATACTTTTCAGAGCAAACACTTCCCGTTTGGTACCACGGATCACTTCTCACATGGAACCTCTCAGGCTGAGCTCCTCAGCTCAGAACCTGGCTTAACACCTATGCAGCGAGTGACATCTCCAGCCACTGCCACACTGAGCCGCACAGGTGTCCAAAAGGCAAATTCAAAGCTGCAAATCTGTACTGTCATATTCAACACACATACAAAAAAAAAAAATTATCCCCAAACCTTTCTTGTTATTCCTTTCCCTAACCCGAGCTTTAGCAGGGCTAGCAAGTGGAATGGCTGCTCGTTAAAGTTCAATGGGAACAGCTGCTCTGTGACAGAGCTTGTGAGCAACCACCCAGTGTCCACACCTGCCCAAACATTCACCTGTGGTTTATCCAAAAAGAGGAAACTGAAGGAACTCTGACTTCTCAAACTGAGGTTGCAGAAAGTTTCCCCAGGAGGGTTAGACTGAAGCCTCTGAGCAACAGACCCCCCCCACGGCTTTTTCCTTAGTGGTACCATGTAGCAAAGAAATGAAAAATCCTTCCTTATCCTGGCTTCTTATTAGCACAATCCATTAGCAGGCACAGCTGGCAATCTGGCAGCCTTGCCTTCCTGAGATCCATGCCAGTGTCAAAATGTCATACTTTGAGAAAGCCTTGAGGACTGGCCAATTAGTGAGCGATTGAGTTTTCCTGGGTCTTGGCTAACGAGTTGAACTTAAGCCCAGGTGTGTGGAGGTGCCTGTGGCAGTTTGTGCTGCTGCTTGTTGTGAGAGGCAAGAGGTTCCTGCTCCCTCCAGCAACTGCTCCTGCAGCAGCTTCTCCAGGATACCACAGGTAGAGGGGATGTTGTCTTGGGAGCTGCTGGATTTCCCCATGTGAGTGTGTTTGGGCATCCTATTGCTTGGTTGGGCTGGAGATGGGGACACATGGGTTAGGCCTTGAAAAAAGGGGAGCTGAAGGTGCCCAGGAGCAGCACTCTACTTGCTAGAGAAGGTACTTCAGGGCCTTGAAGCATGGTAACTGAATGTCTCTTGAAAAAGCTCCAGTTTATTCTTAACTGTATCTTTTCTTATTCAGAGTTTTTTTTCCCCCTGGTCTGAGGCTTGACCAAACTCTCTCGCTGTGTTCTCAGCACTGCAGGGAGGGGGAATTTAATCTGTTTTATGGTGTATTGTGTTCAGTTTTGCTGACTTCATACTTTGCATGTTTAGCTTTTGCCTGGAAGGGGTGTTCCTGATGGTCTTTCAGCTGGAGAAACCTTGCAGTGTGTTTGCTACAGAAGTGTGCTGAAGTTAACAGTGTTACATAGTGCCAGTGGTGCCACAGTGGGGTAGTGCCATTTTTTAGACACAATCAGAATGGAAAGGAAACTTCTAGCTTTGCTCAGGCTGTGATAAAATGTGAGAGGCCTTGGGGCCTACAGCCTGCGTCACCCACAAGTTCTGGTACAATCAGGGGGGCAGCAGTCTGTGGGTCCTCAGGGTGGTTTAAAAGTGGTAACAGGGATGCTCTGGGCTGTAGCCAGAGCCGAGTTCCTCTTGGCTGGGTAAGGAAGAGCAGCAGGGTCTGATACACCTGTGGTGGCCCAGAAAATAGCAGACTGCTTCTGGTGGTGGTGAGCTGGCTGGGTTTTACGTCAACCTCTCTTGCCTCTGATCTGCCTTGTCTTCACATCCCACGTCTCCCTGGTATGTGTAAGGAAAAAAATTCATGGGAGTGATGTGTAAGACTATATAATTTTTATGCTAATTTTGATAAGATGACTTGGTTCAGCTGCCAGAACTGGAGCATATGGGATCAATAAAAATAATTCAGAGAAGCATGCATGTAAGTAAACAAGAGGGGATAACTCAGCAAGAATTGAACATGTGTTCTAGTTAATTAAAAGAAAAATCCTAATTCTAAGCTTCTGATGGCTCATAATCCCTCTGAGCATTTTGGTCACTCTTCCCAGCTGCGGCTTGGGTTTGGACAGCCTCAGGCCCGGGTCTGTGGTTGTGCTCAGCATTACATGTTTGTGTGTGTCCCACTGCAGCCGGCCTGGTCTGTGCCAAGTTTGTGCCTACGGATAAACTTTTGGGGGACAGCAACTCTACAGGAGAAGAGCCCTGTATAACTGTGGCACTGAGACTGCCAGGGTTGCATGCCTGCCTCCCTCCAGCAGCCTCATCTACTGCTGATGCCACCCAAGAGGGTGGAGGGTGATGCCCCTCTCCATTTTCAAGCACCTTGTGTCTCCTTCTGGTCTTGTGCCTGTGTGTTTTGCATGTTGTTGACTCATGGCTTGACCCAGCCTTCCAGTTAAAAATCAAGGAAAGGCTCATGGAGGCTTTACTATGTGAACAATAAACACCTTTGCTCCTGAGTAACTCCAGCAGACTCTGGAGGCTGTGGGGGGTACAACAGTTCAGTGTCTACAGGGACTTCTCCAGCACAGGTTGTGATGGTGCACTGTAAGGAAGCTTGCACCCCCAACATACATGGGAGTTATGTCCTCATTTCACCTCTTCCCCACTGCTAGACTGATTTGTAGAGGAGCAGTGAAGTACTCTGTGATCCCCTTTCCACTCCTCTGGGAAGGCAAATTCCTCTCAGACTCCCTCTCAGGTTTGTGTCGGTCTGTGACTGTCATTAAGCTGAAGTCACATGGGAAGGATTAGTGCCAGTGGCAACCAGGACTACTTATGGCCTCAGCGATGTAGGTATCGTTATAAACCCCATTACTTGCATGTTATCATTATCCAATCATATAGAGTATCATTTTATATAATTGTCATTATCTAGCTATTTATTTATATGCACATGGTGATCTCTGAACATCTGAGGTGGC